GGGGGGTGAGTGTGGAAAGTGCTATCAAGTCACAGCCGATTTATGGCAACCTCCGCAGGGTTATCAGGACCAGAGATGGACAGAGGTGGTTTGGCCACTGCCTGCCTGCCTCCGCATAGAGATCCTGGATTTCCTTGGTGAGCTCCCATCCAAATACTAACAGTGGCCACCCCTGCTTTTTTATTTATTTAAAATTTTTATTTTATTTCAACTTAAACAAAACACAAACTTTTATGGCTGTCAACAACAATGGAACTCAACAAGGTAACTACATAAGTTTATACGGATTTCGAAATAGATTACATGTGGTGAAAAACGTCATAATACTTTTTAGGAACACTGAATTTAGAGAACTCAGAATTAAACATATATTCAAGAAAAGGGAACCATTTCAGATAAAGGTTAGATTTCTTACATGTGAGATTTGTATTAACAGTTACCTCGGATATTTTATCCATGGCATAATAATCCCATATTTTCAAAGGCCATGAGGACAGCAATAGCCTATTTGGGGACTTCCAACTGCACTGTTGGTGGTCGTGTGTTTTTGTACAACAATTTTGGTCCAAAATAGTCTTATCTATCAAAGATATTACAGGTTATTTAATCCCTTTGCAACCTGACCTTATACTATTAGACTATTGGGCAGACTCCCATATACTCAAAATTAGGCAAGACCTCATATCAGTTTTACTAACGGCTGCCACCCCTGCTTGACTTCCACGATCGGATGATGTATTATCAGGCTAGCCTGGGCCATCCTGGGCAGGGCAGGGCAGGGCTCCGGGGACTGAGTGCTAAGTCAGCTTGGATTCCAGCCTGGATGGGGCTGAGGAACACCTCTCAGGCTGGGTTCACACCTGCAGGAGAATGTGGGGGGTCCAGTGCTAAGCTGGTGGGATGGGCTATGCTCTTTCAGACTGCAGGTGGACAATCACCTTGCGGCACGTTTGCCTACGTGGAAAGCTCCCTGCCGTTAGAAAACTAGCACGATCAAGGAAGAGGGGAAGTGGACCTTCTCTCCCTTGCATGTTACTTTTCTGTTTGCAGGGATTTTTTAATGCAAAGGAACATTCGAAGACTGCTTTGATGGAGGGGTGTGAAAATGGTCCCCCACAGTACTGCAGGAACAGCAAGCAGAAAGTACTGCAGGAACAGCAAGCAGGGTGAGAACGGCCGTTGCATGCAGCCATTCCCTGGATGGCCCAGGCTAGCCTGATCTTGTCAGATCTCAGAAGCTAAGCAGGGTTGGTTCTGGTTAGTACTAGGATGGGAGACTACCAAGGAACTCGAGGGTTGCTACACAGAGGCAGGGAATGGCAAACTCTGACTTTGAAAACCCTGTGGGATCACCCCCATAAGTCAGCAAAACCTTGACAGCAAAAAGAAAAAAGTATCCCTGCATTTGCTGCTGCAACCGGCCCTGTGCTCACTCCCCTATTCTGCATTGCGCGTGCATACAAGCACACATGTGACACAGCTTCAGTGCCCCTGTACAGCCCGAAGCCACTCTTTTGCCCTTTCACAGCTGGGCTCTGCTGCAGCCTGGCTCCTGTCAGGACATTCCCAGAGCCCTTTAAACTGGACTGGGGGAGCGGGTGCCATTGAGCTACCCTGACCTTTCAGTAAAACCAGAACCCCCCTTGGCTGGGGGTGAAGCACTGGGGTTGCCAATTCCAGGTTAGGGAATTCCTGGAGATTTGAGGGGTGGGGCCTGGGGAGGGCAGGGGAGGGACCTCAGCAGGCTATAATGGCACGGAGTCTACCCTCCAAAGCTGTCACTTTCTCCAGGGGAGCTGATCTCTGTCACCTGGGGATCAATGGTAATTCCGGGAGATCTCCAGGCCCCACCTGGAGGTCGGCAACCCTAGTGGAGCAGGTGGACACTCCACCAGCAGCCGCCCCATGGCTTCCCTGGCAAGGCAGATTAAAGGACTTTAATTCAGCTCAGGGGGAGGAAATGCAGGGCCTCCCCCACGGAGTGCGAACCGCCTGGTGTGGTGCCGGAAGGAACTGCTCGCCAGGGTCCACACAGGATCCCACGGGCGCCGGCAGCTCTGCGGCTCCGTTCCCAACCCGTTCTCCTGCTCGTGGGAAGCGCCTGCCGCCTGGGAGGGAGGGAGGGAGGGAGGGAGGGATGGCAGGAGGCAGGGGAGCTTCGATGCTTCGGGAAAAGGCCCGCTGGCTTCTGGGTCCCCTCGGCGGTGGCGTGGTTGTTCCGCAGGTGCCTGTGCTGCGTCTCCTTTTTTGTTTTTTGCTTCGGCAGTGTGGGAAACGCGGTATCATCCTGCCACCTGCATCTCCCTTTGCCCCCGGGGGGGACAGGCGCGGCTAGAATGGAGCAACCCGGCGAACGCTCTGGGACAGCTGCGATCTGGGAGGTCCCCAGTTCGAATCCCGCCTCGGCACTGAGCCCCCGCCCGCCCGCCTCAGCTTCCCCTTCGGAGCAATGGGAATAACCAGTCCTGCCCCGATGCTCTCTCTCTCTCTCTCCCTGCCTCCACCTCGCCTGTCTCGGCTTGCGGGGAGGGCGGCGGGTGTGCTCGGCAGAGGCGCTGGCGGGCTTCTCGGCGTAGGCGCCGGCAAAAGGGGGCCGGGCCGGCGGAGCCTCGGGTCTCTCCCCGCTGGGGCCGCCGCTGCCCCCGCGAGTTTCACCTGCTGCCGCCGGTTGGCAGAGCGCCTGGCCTGGCCGGGAAGGAGGGGGGACTAGCCCCGCCGCCGCCGCCGCCTCCCGCCGCCCATGTGATCCGGAGCCAGCGACTTAAAAGGGGGCCGCTGCGGCGCTGCCTGCCCAGACCAGACCAGACCAGACCCGCGCGGGGGTGCGGGGAAAGCGCTCGCCGGGGAGACCGAGGGAGACCGAGAGAGAGAGGGAGAGCGCGCTCGCCTGGCCCTGCCCGCCCCGACCGACCCGCAGACATTCCCGCGCCCAGCCATGGCCGAAGCCTTCGCCGGCGTCTGGCACCTGATGGAGAGCAACAATTTCGACGAGTACATGAAGAGCATCGGTGAGGCGGCGGCGGCGGCGGCGGCGGGGGAGCCTTTGGCGAGCGCCGAGGGAAGGTGCCCTTGGCGGGGCGAGGGGAGGCGGCCGGCCGGCCGGAGCGCCTCGCCGGGCGATTGACACCACACGCGGCCCTGTCCGCTGCGTCGCCGGCGCCACCTGGCTCCGAGACCGGCGCTTGCAGCAGGGACCGGCGGACCCCGTCCCCGTCCGGGGGAGAGCCCCGCCGCCTGCCTCCCTCCCTGCCAGTCCGGGCGCCGGCGGCCTCTCGGCTCTCTCGGCCCGGGGCGTTTTCTTTGCGGCAACACGCGCTCGGGGGTGGAAGCCCCGGCGTGGAAAAGGGGGCTCTTGGATTCTCGGCGGGGCGGCGGCGGCGGGGGTGGGGTGTGTGTGGAGTAGGGTTGCCTACAGGCTGGGGGGCGCATCTCCAGCCGCGACCGCGAGCAGAGTTGCCCC